GTTCTGGAAGGTTTGAGAGGTGAGCAAGGAATTGTTGAATCGGTAAAAAAATTTGCCTGTGTAGCCCGATGCAGTCAGTCTGAGGGCTAGCGTGATTGGTTTGTGATCAAGGCCGCTATGATATGGTGAGCTTCCTATGTTGCAATCGTGTAGGGCTCCTATCAATGAATCAGAGGTAAGGAATAAATTTATTCTCGAGAATGATGTTCTCCCTTGCGTGGTTCTTCGTATGCATGAGAATCTCTTGTTGTTTGAGTGTATTATACGGAACGGGTCTAGTTTTTCCTTGTCATGAATTCCGAGAGATTCAAGTTGTTTGATTGTTGTGACGGGTCGGTTGAGTGTGAAATTTTGTTTAGGGTGGGATTCTGTACGGAGTTACAATCCCCCATGAGGATCGTATGTTTGTGCCTCCGGATTAGTTGTTCCACCGTGTGAAGGAAGGGAGTTTTGTCTGAATGAGCTGTGGGACCGTAAATTCCTATGATCGTGAGTTTTTCTTCCTTGAATTTAAGTTCCAACTTGGTCCATCGGCCTGAGACGTTGTCCTGCCACGTATTCTGAATTATTATATCGTTATTTGCCCTTGAGTGTTGGTGTAGGAGGATGACCGCGTCAGCTGAGCCATTCGGGGAGGCGTGGGTTCAATAGGCCTTTTTGACAAAGAAAAACTTTTTGATGAGAGCTATTTTAATTCTTTGGTGGTCTTCGCTGTTGGTAAGCTGGGTCTCTTGTAGGCATGTTATGTCCGGGGGTTCAGGTCCGAACCATCCTTCGCTTTCTGACAGGTTTCTCCATTTGATTGGGTTGTCTAGCACTGAGTTTAGGCCATTCACGTTCCAGGAGCAAAATGTGATTTCCGGTTGCTTTCTGATTTCGGTTATGATATCTTGTTCAGTTGTAGGTCTGATTCTTTTGTTTCTGTGGGGTGCCCAATCCTTGAGGGAGGATTCCATTTAGGAAGTTCCTCGGTCTCTTGGATCGGGGTTGTGCTGCGTATTTAGGTGGTGGCCTGCGTCTTCCTTCTCTCTTCCTTCTTCGCCCTCTCCTCCGTGATTTTGGCCAAAGTCTACTCTGTGTCTTTGCCCAGCCATTCCTCTTGCAGGAAGGCGGCCATGCTGAGTGCGATTCTGTCCACTTCTTCCTTTGGTCCAAGGAGCTGGAAAGGATCTCGCAGATCAGTTCCCAGGGCTTCCATTCGAGGTTTCCTCTCAGTTCCACTGCATGCTCATACATGACCATGAAGGGTCTCATATCTGCAAACTGGGTGTCTCCCTTGTTGTTTTCCCAGCTTATCTGCAGGCGCTCGTCATGCCCTGCTCTGTAGATTGATTGGGGTCGCTCATCAGAAATTGTGGATTTGATGAAGGAAGCTGGCTGGTTGGACCCCTGCATCGTGACCATTTCCAATGAGGGGTGAACCGCAATTTTCCATTCGCTCTTTTTTGCAACGTAGTGGAAAGGAAGAATCGGGATTGTTGGCGACAATGCTCGAGCATCGATGTTGGCTGCGAGGGCGAGGTCCAGGGGCTCTCGTCAGAAACCTTGTTCAGAGAGGGGAAAACTTCTCCGATTTCCTGGTTCCGATATTCCAGGAGTCTGGTCTGTCTTTCCAGAATGGCCACTTTTCTTCTCATCTCCAGCGCACCTCAAGGAAATAAGTGCTGCTCAAGGAAATAAGTTCAAAGGTAGCCCAAACATCTCCAGAGACGTTCCTTGCTGCTGGTTATCTCGTCAGCACATTAGCATCTGCCCTTTCAATAGGGATAACAAGAGAGGGCGGGTCTGATGCATATGGCTGTGTGGAGGCTGATGATGCCTGCTTTCAGAATTGGTGTTTGAGAGTGGGTGGGGCCCCATTGCGTGTAGTTGTGTGGAGGGCTGATGCTGCCCGTCCGCAGAATGAGCATTTGGCAGCAGGTGAGAAATTTCCCAGCGCACCGTGCTTCGAGACCAGTTTGACAGCCATGTGAATTGAGTGCGTAGCCGACACATGTGGTCCAGACTTTGGCCAGGACACTGGGAGGATGGCCCCTTGCAAGCACGTGTCGTGTCAGTCGGTGGTATTGTTACAGATATGTTCGAACCTTGTCAATTGTCCCGTGAGCATGGCTGCAGGCTGATTGGGTGGGGCATTGGAGGAAGCACTGGGATAACTTATGGCAGAGAATGCCCAAGAATTAGCTTTATCAAACACACCAGTGCAAAGTGAGCCGTCTTGCCGAACCATGATTCTTGCCCCGAGGAAGAGACACAACCCATCTTGCTCAGAAGTGTCTCCTTCCACTCAAGACCATACCGAGCAGGAGTGCCCGGCGATATCTTCCAGGACAGAATGTCTCAATGAACCTATATGTGAATGCATATGCTTGTGCTGCACACATATCTCGCTGATGGCGTTCATGGATGAACCGTGCTCCATCCCAATAGAGTGTAAGATTGGCAATTTCTGGTCTGGCGGTAGTGCCCATAGGGATACCAACCACCTGATGGTGCACAGTGTGTGTAAGAGAGAGAGAGAGAGAGAGAGAGAGAGAGAGAGAGAG